CTGATTTTAGCTTGTGCGGCTAATATTCAGGTGCGCTTTGTAGTCCGGGAAATACGGTACTATATTGAATAAATGTTTTAATCAAGAACCTCTACTAAAAGCTTAATAAAAGAATATAAAAGTATAAATGGTAAAATTATTTACCATAAAAGTATAAAAGACAATTTGAATAACCTAGTAATTCAAATAGCCTCATCTAACCAGCTCCTCAGAATAACCTAGACTCTGCTCTCACTTCTGCAAATTCTCTGCAACTTAGTCTTTCTGAAAGAAACACACACTGTTTAAAACGCTGAATACAATATCAATGCTGCAGATTATATTATTAATGCAATGGTAATGATGATGATTATTTAACAATAGCAGTAAAATAATTTCCCTGATCCACATTATCCTCCTATGCTCTAGTCTTTAACACAATAGATTGTGAAGTCATCGCGCTTCACAAAGCTTAAGACCCTCAGTAGACTAAGCAACAACTGAATGAGCACAAATACTATGCAATGTGTATAAAATACTTCTGACCGTACTTGTAATAAAAGTTAACATAATAAAAGGATCCTTAAATGAACATCTTCAATAAACAACTTTAATGCAATATCAATACTGTGAGAAATATTATTAAATGAAATAATGCTGTAAAGATTTTGTTATTAATGCAATTATAATGATGCAGGTTATATGGCAGCAATAAAATAATTTCTGTATCTCCACAAAACCCATTATAAACACTATTTTTCATTGCACGATCGTTATAACTAAAGTAGGGTGAGGGTGACACTTTGGAGTCCGGGCCTTAAATTAGAATTTTTTTTCATTTGTCCACCAGGTGGCGCCCTTTTTTCTATATTTTAACATTGGATGAACTCAAGCCAAAAATTCCGATTTTGGGCGAGCCGTTCTGCTTTAAAAAGTGGGAAAAAAATATTATAATATAAAATAAATAATAATAAATAATTTGTTGTGTGTCACTATCAATGACCTTTATATTTTTTAAAAATATAAAAATATTTAAAAAAAGAGAAAAAGACACAAACACACTTTTTTTTTCAAAAGTATTTTCTCTTAGACGGCCACACTGCAATACAAACAAATTAAATATAAAAGCATGGACCAAAAGCAAATTAGATTTTATTTTTCCCTTCAAAATCAATTTTTAAATACAGCTGCGGTTGAATGACCTATGACCCAGAAATAGTCATTGATGGAACACCGTGGAAACTGCAGTTGTAAATAGACGCGCATTGAGTAGAAAATGGAGCCTCTCCCATCTCACACTGTCAATGGATCATGTAGCGACACCAATTATCTGCAAATTGTGAGTGAAGAGGAGATCGATGGGAACAGCCACAGGATGATTTCGACAAACTGACGGAAAATGGCTTTGCTCCGGAAGCAGCGTACAGGTCTGACTTGCCGTGTGCCAAATTGCGCACAGTAAACAGTCCACGGGGCTACGAAAAGTGCTGATGTTTTCGTTTGAAAAAGTGAAAAATAATTATCATTACATTACCATTCAGTTTGAGGGTTACAACAAAAATTATTTTTTTAACCGTTAAGATGGCACAGTGACGTCACGACGACTTCCTTCCGGTCTATGCGTCTTTTTCCATTTTTTCCTCTGTTTACATCTGTTTACATGCCCAAATCCTCTAGTTTTACAGTCAACGACAGCAGATCACTTCTAAACGTCGATAATGAGGTTGCACATGTAATCTTGGACACCTTTAAACCCGACCGAGCCTGCCCGCCTGCCCGTCTATCGTTGTTCCCTGTGATTTTGTATTGTTATTTAGACAATTTTTAATTTTATTTTAGAACAAAACAAGGTAATAAGCAATTAGTGTAAGCAAAATATGATAAACCCGATATAGCACTATATGACATTTAGTGTGCTTTTGCCAAAAAATAGTAATGTATCAAAATGAATGTCAGTACCAATCTTTGGACCATCCAAAGGCCTAATTATAATAACAATCAAATATTACTTCAAATGTATTTTTTGGAAAATATGTAAGTTTTTTGTTTTTTTCGGCTAAAAAAACCAGTGCGCTCATGTAACGAAACTGGGATTTAAAGGGTTAAAACCCCCGAAATATAATAAAAACCTTATATGAATATTTCAGGGAGAAGTAGTTTTAAAAGACTGGCTAATTTAAAGTGGAAAAAAATATTAATATATAATATTTTTATAGCCCTCTTTATGGTGTGGTCGATATTTGGCCTGAGGACCTCATAAGGATGTGTTTCTGAGAATCTTCCAACTAGTGCGTTAGCGCAGTTAGCTCGTTAACCTGTTGACGCCGTCCAGCCCCACGCACAGGGCGATCCGCAGTAACTCGTTAAGGGAGATTTGCCGCATTATGGCGTTAACGTCATTTTTACCAGATTAACGCTGACAGCACTAGTGGGAACACAACGAATATGACTGCACATTTACATCATCCTAGTGCAAAGAGAAGTGCAAGCAGACAAAAACAACAAGCAGTATGCTACAAACTTTACCCGAGTCATTTAGACAGCCGTTAGCACAGGATTCTCCTTATGGGGACCTGATATGTTTAATATGCTGCTGAGAATATAGCCCAGAAGAAGCGTATAGTAGAGCTTTTATTTTGGAAAGAGACATTTCTCTGTAATAAACTCTCTTTTCCAAAGATGAGGGATTTCTTGATCAGATAGACTCATCATTTTTTTTCCTGTTTCAACAACATTAAATTTAAAAACTGTACTTTTGAGTTAAAATATAAATTTCAGTTCAAAATATTGAACTGAACCGAACCGTGAATTTTGTGTATCGTTGCAACCCTAGTATTATTTTAGGGTCTACCTTACAATATAAAATGCCTTGAGGCAACTGTTGTTGTGATTTGGTGCTGTGTAAATAAAATTGAACTGAATTGAATTATTAGAGATAATTATTAGAGATAATACATATTTAAGATTGAAGCATTAATTAATGACAGGACTTCTTTGAGCAGTTTTTGTAGGAATGGGGTCTTAATTACTGAAAAAGAGTCTAAATGAATATCAATGGTACTAAAGGTAGTAGTAGATAATATTACATCTTTGGGATGATTATTGGTCATTTTTTCCTCTAATGGTTAAAATTGTATTTGTGAAGAAATTCAAGAAGTCATCACTAGTTAAAGGGATGGTCAGCTCAATAAAGCTCTGACTTTTTGTCAGCCTGGCCACAGTGCTGAAGAAAAATCTAGGGTTGTTCTTATTTTCTTCAATCGGTGATGAATAGTAAGATGTTCTAGTTTCATGGAGGGCTTTCTTATGAAGGAACCACGTATCTGTCCAGGCTACACAGTGATCTGCTAAATTTTTCATACATTATTTCCTCTCCAGCTTACAAGATATCTGCTTTAAGCTATGTGTGTGAGAATTATACCACGGAGTCAAGTACTTCTGATTTGAGGCCTTATTTTTCACAGCAGCTACAGGTAGCTGCCGTTTAGGTAGCTGCTCTGCCCTATGTTTGTACAGGGCATTGAAAATGATAACAGTGGGTGGATTATATTCTTAAACTTAAACTTACAGTATCTCACAAAAGTGAGATGCATCTATTTTCAAAAGACAACCTCTGGTTATAAACATTGGTTGACCATGGCAAGGTTTGTTCTGAGTGGAACCTATATCTTGTAGGGACAGCTCCCCCACAGACCACACCTGACCACAACTGTTATATTTTCAGTTTCTATGTCATTCACACTGCTCCTCATCAATTCCCAGCACCTTAAACCAACCTTTCTGACACCACACCCTGAAGCCACTTCTTCATCCCTCCTCTGCAGCTGACCCACAAACCACATCCCGGCACAATAAAGGGATTATGCATCGTAATCAACCAATTTTGTTAAATGGGTTTGATAGCACAAATAATATTCAAGCTTTGGTGAAAATAACATATTTGTTGAAATCCTAGTATTTCAGTAGTCACTAATAGGCTGGGTTTATTGTGCACGGATGTAGCTAGCTAATAAATCTTGCCAGCATTAACTGATAACTTTTACCCTTCTGTCTAAAGAACTTCTGGCTCTAACCAAAATGGCAACAGCCAAACTACCATACCAGAAGCATTGTTATCACATTACCTATATCTGTGTTTTTACATCTTTTTTTCATATTGCTAGGGACATGTTATTTCCTCTACAAACACCATTGTATACAACTTTACACAAACTGTGAATACGATTTTAATTTAATTTCTCTAAAAGAAGATCAGCTATATTTTCATTGTTCAAAGTTTTGACAATTGTCACTTGATGACTGAATGTGTCTGAGAACACAGGTTTTTGTGTTTGTTATTTTTTTTCTTTACATATTATCATTTTCTTTCTCCTTTTGCTGTCTTTCAGATTCTGCATTCAGAATTGTGCTGTTCGGAAAAAGGGAGGACAAAAAGACTAAACTAGGAAACTTAATTATTGGTAACACAGGGAAGCAATTTGAAAAACATTCTTCAGGGGAGTGGTGTCCAGTTACCTATGGAGAGTGGAGAGCATATAGTTTAACAGTAGTTAAAACTCCAAACATCTTCAGTGGGTCTGGGGAAACTCTAAAAGAAGAAATTAGCAGATGTGTGAGTTTTTGTAAACCTGGACCAAATGTTCTTCTGCTGTTACTTAAACCTTCAACATTCACAGAAAAAAAGAGAGAAAAACTAAACTTCATCCTGAGTTTGTTTGGTCAAGATGCCTTAAAGCACTCAATGGTCATCATGACACGCGATTCAAGTGAAACTCAGTCTGTAAAGCAGCTGCTGGAGGATTGTGAAGGAAGACGGTACAAAATGAGTGAAAATAACCAAAGATCATTAATGAAGGAGGTTGAGAACATTGTATATAACAACCAACAAAACTTCCTCACCTTCACTGAAGTGACCACAGGACCACAGCCTCAGAACATAAAACCACCTTTAAACCTGGTTCTGTGTGGGAGGAGAGCAGCAGTGAAGACTTTAGCAGCCAAGGCCATTTTAGATCAGACAGAGCTTCATTCAGCCTCCAACTCATCAGAGTGTGTTAAACATCATGGAGAGGCTTGTGGACGTTGGGTTTCCCTGGTGGAGCTGCCTGCTTTGTATGACAAACCTCAGGAGGCAGTGATGGAGGAATCACTGAGGTGCATCTCCCTCTGTGATCCTGAGGGTGTCCATGCCTTCATCCTGGTCCTACCTGTGGCTCCCCTCACTGATGAAGACAAGGGAGAGTTAGAGACCATCCAGAAGACGTTCAGCTCTCGAGTCAATGACTTTACCATGATTCTGTTCACTGTGGAATCAGATCCTACAGATCCAGCTGTTCTTAACTTTCTAAAGGAAGACAAAGACATCCAGGAGCTCTGTGAGAGCTGTGGAGGGAGAGCTAATGTTCTCAATATCAAGGACAAACAGCAGATCTGTGAGATGTTGGATGTTTTGTATAAACCTCAGAGCTATACAGCGAAAACACATGCACATGCTCAAGCAGAAAAGGTCCTGCAACAAGAGAGACACATCAGCAGTCTGAAGGCAAAACTTTTGGAGTTGGAGTCAAAGAAAAACAGTCAGTATCCCACAGATGTACACAACTTTGTCTTATAGTCTGTGCTTTTCTGCTTCTACTTTCATAACTTAAACATTTCACATTTCAACTCCATGCCTTCTTCTTTTATAGGTGGTGAGAAAACACAGAGCCCAGAGCCTCTCAGGATTGTACTGGTTGGAAAGACTGGCTGTGGAAAGAGCTCTTCAGGAAACACCATTCTAGGAAGGAGAGAGTTTAAAGCTGAAGCTTTACAAACATCAGTCACTAAAAAATGTCAGAAAGCACAGGGTGAAGTTGATGGTCGTCCTGTTGTTGTGGTTGACACTCCTGGTCTGTTTGACACAACTCTGTCACATGAAGAAGTTCATGAAGAGTTGGTGAAATGTATCAGTCTTCTGGCCCCAGGACCACATGTCTTCCTGCTGGTGATACAGATTGGTAGATTAACAGCAGAGGAGAAGGAGACACTGAACCTGATCAGGAAATTCTTTGGGATGAATTCAGAAAATTTCACCATTGTTCTTTTTACAAGAGGAGATTCACTGGAACAGGATGAAAAGTCGGTGGAGGAATTCATTAAAATGGAACAAGAGGATTCCTTAGAGAAGGTGGTGTCTGACTGTGGAGGAAGATATCATGTGTTTAATAACTATGATAAACAAAACCAGAAACAGGTCAGCGAGCTGATAACAAAGATTGGGGAAATGGTGGAGAAAAATGGTGGTGAGTGCTACACTAATGAGATGCTCCAAGAAGCTGAAGCAGCAATACAAAAAGAAGTGGAGAGGATCCTGAAAACCAAGGAACAGGAGATGCAGAAAGAGTTTGAGAAACTTCAAATGCAACATGACGAAGAATTAAAAGAAATGGAAAAACGGTTTGAAGAACAGAGGAAAGAAAAAGAGTCGGAGAGAGAACAAAGAGCTAAACGTCTTGAACAAATGAGGGATAAACTTAATAATGAGCGTGAGAGGAAGATGAAAGAACAAGAAAAAAGGGAAGAAGAAGATGCAAAGAAGAAAAACCTGGAAGAAATCGAACACCAGGAATGGGAAAAAGAGCTAAATGTTTTGCAAAACAGAATCAATTCTACATTAGATGAGGAAAAGAGAAAGGAACTAGAGCAGAGTAAGGACAAGATGATAGAGCAACAGAAGAAGAAGAAAAGGGAACAACAGGAATTTTGGGAGAAACCTAAAAGAGAACACAAACGAAAGCAAGAGGAAGCAAAGCTCAAAAAGCTCCAAATGGATTATGAGCAGGAGAAAGTAAAGTATGAAAATGCCATAAAAATAGAAGACCAAAGCAGACAAGAACAAGAAGAAAAGGAAAGAAAAGAGTTGGAGGAAAAATATGAGCAGAGCATCCTTGACATGAAGAAACGATATGAAGATGAAGCAAGAAAGCAAGCTGAAGAATTCAATGAATTGAGGAAGAAATACGCTATGAACTTTGCAGGCCTGATGGAAGAACATAAGGAGGAGAAGGAGGCAATGAAGAAGCAGCATGAGAGAGAAATGATAAAGATAGGAGAAGAAAACAGAAAAAGTTTAAAACGGTTAGATGATCTCTCAAAGTATAGAGAAGAAATATTAAAAGAAGAACTTAAAAGACAAAAAGAAAAGCAGCTAAAAGAAATCGAGGAACTGAAAAAAAAACAGGAGCAAGAAGAGTCTCATTTCAAAGAGAAGTACAAACACAGATGTGTGATCCAGTAATGATGCTTCTACATTACATTTTCTATATTAAAAACTATATATATATATACATTTCTATATGTGTGTGTGTGTGTGTG